CAGCCTCACACACTGTTATTCTGCTGAATGCTTCTACATCAAGTTCTTCTCCTCAAAAAATTCTTCAAAGAGATTTCTTTCACCAGCCATGGTGATTCATGCCTATAATCCTAGCCTGTAATCCCTAGCTACTCAGGAAGCTGAGATCTGAGGATCTTGGTTCAAAGCCAGCCCCAGGAGAAACCTCTGTGAGACTCTAAAGAATTAGCAAATAAGCCAGAAGAGGAGTTATGGCTCAAGTGGTAGAGCACCAGCTATGAGCAGAAAAAGTTAATCTGAGAGTGAGGGGACTTGAGTTCAAGCTCCAGCACCAGCACACACATGCAATGGCAACCAGTCCTGCGCGATGTCCCACCCTAGGTATCTCTAAGCCTGGCTTCCATTCCAGGCTCCAGACTCAGCCTGTACTGGGCACCTGCTCACTGGAATTCACAAGTGAAAGGAAAGGGGACCCTGGGCCACTGCAGAGAGGAAAGCCTATACTTGCCTAGTGGGACAGCTCTTGATGGGCTTTCTCTCAGGAGCAGAGAAGCTTCCAGAAGCAGGAGTCTCATGGGACTCTCAATGGCCTTGGAACCCTGTTGAGCACACAGGAGACTAATCAACACTGCTGAGATGGAAAGTTGGGGAGCAGCTCAGGTTGGGTGTATGGCTCAGGTGGTAGAGCACCAGCCGGTGTGCAAATGCAAGTGTCAGATAGTGAGTTTGAGTTCCAGTTTTGGACAAAAATAAGAAAGAAAGGAAGAAAAAGAAAGAAAGAAAGAAGGAAGGAAGGGAAAGAAAGAAAGAGAGAGAGAAGGAAAGAAAGAAAGGAAGAAGGAAGGAAAGAAAGAAAGAAAGAAAAAGAAAGAAAGAAAGAAAGAAAGAAAGAAAGAAAGAAAGAAAGAAAGAAAGAAAGAGTTAGTTGGGGGAGCAGGAGCACTCATTCTAAGTACCTGAGCAATCATCCCTAAGATGGCTAAAAATGAGAGGTAGAAGTTTCTGGACCTCGCTCCAGCTGACCAAAAGCCTAGTGCATCAAGTGTGGGGAAAAAGTGTTCTAAGGTAAAAATTGTGTTCGGAAAGTATCTATGAATGGATAGTTGATCCCACAAAAATGGGGCTCTTCAGCTAAACCACAGAAACTGAGATCACTCAGCCTCAAAGACTTTCAGTTCTATCTTGCCCTCCCCTGCAGCTGTGTGCCTGATGTGTCCTTTTCCATGCCATGTTTATCCACCTGGCTGCTTACATGTTTGGTTCCCTTCCTTCCTCTCACCTTCCCTTCTTTTCTCCTTTCCTCCCTCCCTCTATGCCTTTCCCCCAGGAAAAGCTAGAAGGTTTTGATGCAGAGCAATGAGAGTCAGCTCCCAAAGGGTTTCCTTCATTTTCCCTCTCTTCACCATAAAACATCCAGAGCCCTGCTTTCTGCCTTGCCTGGTGAAGACCATTCATCTCTGGAACCAATCATTTATTTCTGCTCTAATGAGCTCATGTCTTTTCTTGCTGGGAAAACTCCAATCAGGCCTTAACCTCATCTGCTTATTCTTGGAACTCAACCTCATCCATCTGGGAGTCTCAGTCTCTTTCAATTGCACACTCTTGGGCTTTTCTTTCTTTTCCTCTCCTCTCTTTTCTTTTCCTTCCTTTCCTCATTCTCATTTCTTCTTTTATTCCTTCCCTTCGCTCCTCCCTCCCTACCTCCCTTCCTCCCTCCCTCCCTCCCTTTCTCCCTTCCTTCCTCCCTTCCTTCCTTTCCTTCCCTTTCCTTCCCTTCCCTTCCTTTCCTACCTTCTTTCCTTCCTTCCTTCCTTCTTTCCTTTTCTTGTGTGTGTGCCTGTAGTAGAACATGAACTCAGGGCCTTGCATTCACTTTGGTTCTTTCACTCAAGGCTGGTACTCTCAACTTCTGGCTTTTCTCCTAGTTAAGTGGAGATTAGAGTCTCATGGATTTTCTGGCTTTGAATCTCTATCCTCAGATCTCATCCTCCTGAGTAGCTAGGATTACAGGTGTGCACCATCAGCAACAGTCTTGGGCTTCTTAATATGGATGTAGGTCCCAGAAGTCATGCTGAGGGACTGAAGAGCAGCTTGGGAGGGGAATTCAGCAAGAAGCAATGATGGCTTGGTCCTCTTCACTGTTAAAGAGAAGCCTTCTCTCCCCCCTAGGTCCCTGAAAGCTCCTGAACCTTCTAGAATTTGTCCTCCCTCTTTCTGTAGACTTGGGGGAGGGAGGGAGATGAGTTTGTGGATTTGTGGCTTCCCTTGTATTCAAGAAATCTGCCTAGAACCACAGAATTTCATTTGGCCATGCTCCCTTTAAACCTATATCTAAATATAAATACATGTTTGTGTATTTATCAGAATGAGCTCTACACATGGATGTAAAGGTGCAGGGGTCAAGATGAACTTGTGTGTCATCACAGAAATTCCAAGGGTGACCATTCTGGATTCCTCACTTCAGTCAGAAATCTGACTCTGCAGGGGGATGGGAGGGGAGAGGGGAGAGGAGGGAAGAGAGAGATGGCTTCTGAGCTAGGGCCCACCAGGAAGTGTGTTCATTTCTAACAGGCTGGGCTTTTCAAACACCACCTCACTGGGACAGCAGCGGCTGCGGCTGCGGGTGGGGGTGGTGTGTATGTTTATCAGGGAGTTGGAGATCC